GCGTCATCCTGTGGTATATACTGCCTGACCCCATGGTATATACTGTCTGATTCCATGGTATATACTGCCTGATTCCATGGTATATACTGCCTGGTTTATACTGCGTCATCCTGTGGTATATACTGCCTGACTTCATGGTATATACTGCCTGACCCCATGGTATATACTGCCTGACTTCATGGTATATACTGCCTGACTCCATGGTATATACTGCCTGGTTTATACTGCGTCATCCTGTGGTATATACTGCCTGACTTCATGGTATATACTGCCTGACTCCATGGTATATACTGCCTGGTTTATACTGCGTCATCCTGTGGTATATACTGCCTGACTTCATGGTATATACTGCCTGACTTCATTTTATATACTGCCTGACTCCATGGTATATACTGCCTGGTTTATACTGCGTCATCCTGTGGTATATACTGCCTGACTTCATGGTATATACTGCCTGACTTCATGGTATATACTGCCTGACTCCATGGTATATACTGCCTGACTCCATGGTATATACTGCCTGACTCCATGGTATATACTGCCTGGTTTATACTGCGTCATCCTGTGGTATATACTGCCTGACTTTGTGGTATATACTGCCTGACTTCATGGTATATACTGCCTGACTTCATGGTATATACTGCCTGACTTCATGGTATATACTGCCTGACTTCATGGTATATACTGCCTGACTCCATGGTATATACTGCCTGGTTTATACTGCGTCATCCTGTGGTATATACTGCCTGACCCCATGGTATATACTGCCTGACTCCATGGTATATACTGCCTGACTCCATGGTATATACTGCCTGGTTTATACTGCGTCATCCTGTGGTATATACTGCCTGACTTCATGGTATATACTGCCTGACTCCATGGTATATACTGCCTGACTCCATGGTATATACTGCCTGGTTTATACTGCGTCATCCTGTGGTATATACTGCCTGACTTCATGGTATATACTGCCTGACTTCATGGTATATACTGCCTGACTCCATGGTATATACTGCCTGACTCCATGGTATATACTGCCTGGTTTATACTGCGTTATCCTGTGGTATATACTGCCTGACTCCATGGTATATACTGCCTGACTCCATGGTATATACTGCCTGGTTTATACTGCGTCATCCTGTGGTATATACTGCCTGACCCCATGGTATATACTGCCTGACTCCATGGTATATACTACCTGACCCCATGGTATATACTGCCTGACTCCATGGTATATACTGTCTGGTTTATACTGCGTCATCCTGTGGTATATACTGCCTGACTTCATGGTATATACTGCCTGACCCCATGGTATATACTGCCTGGTTTATACTGCGTCATCCTGTGGTATATACTGCCTGACTTCATGGTATATACTGCCTGACTTCATGGTATATACTGCCTGACTCCATGGTATATACTGCCTGGTTTATACTGCGTCATCCTGTGGTATATACTGCCTGACTTCATGGTATATACTGCCTGACTTCATGGTATATACTGCCTGACTTCATGGTATATACTGCCTGACTCCATGGTATATACTGCCTGGTTTATACTGCGTCATCCTGTGGTATATACTGCCTGACTCCATTGTATATACTGCCTGACCCCATGGTATATACTGCCTGACCCCATGGTATATACTGCCTGACTCCATGGTATATACTGCCTGGCTTATACTGCGTCATCCTGTGGTATATACTGCCTGACATTATGGTATATTGCAGGACCAAATTGTATATACTGCATGACCCCCATGGCAGTATTGCCTGATCTTGTGGTATATACTGCCTGACTCCATGGTATATACTGCCTGGTTTATACTGCTTCATCCTATGGTGTATACTGCCTGACATCATGGTATATTGCAGGACCAAATTGTATATACTGCATGACCCCATGGCAATACTGCCTGATCTTGTGGTATATATTGCATGACTCCATGGTATATACAGTCTGACCCCAAGCGCATTGATAATAAATACTTTAGTGTCGTAAATAATACTGTGTGTGACTTAAATATACATCAGGTAAAATGTTATCTCCAAATACATTGTTCTCTTCAGAAAACAAAAGAATTAAGTTCCAAACTTAACGATCACAGGAAAGATGAACTTGAACAAGGTCAGCATTTGAGATTGACTCGTGAACAGATGCAGAGACAACACATGGATTTGACTGACACTAAAAAGCAGCTTGCAAAGTCACAAAGAGAACAGGTATTGTCAATATACTTTATCCATACCAACTTTTCCCATTATTCCTAGTGTGATTAGTTCCTGTAAGTTTATACATTATACATTTTACTTTTTATTTATTTGTGTAATAAATTATTATTGTATACCAAGCCTTTGCCACATTTCACTAAAAAGCTCTGTTTTCGTTCAAATAAATTATATGGAGTAAACTGTATCACCAACATTGGACATTCTAGATTGTTGACGTCACTTTCACTATCTTTTGTTCATATTGGATGTGAAGGATATAGCACATACTGTAAAATCCGTATTAGAAGCTGCTGTTTCTATTGAATTGGTACAATGCAACAGAGGTGATGCAGCTTCTAATAGAGCATCTACACATATGAGAAATTATGAATTTTTGGATCTCAATTGTTCAAAAAGAATGGGTGCAACTTCTATTAGGGATGCAGCTTCTAATACAGATTTTATGGTAATGAAAATAGAATCCTGCCAGTGAATGCAAACTTTTGCACAATCAATGCAAAACATTTTTCATTTGCATTTTTAGCTATTTTTATCTTTCTTTAAATTATAACTACTAACAGAGAAAAGACACATAGTTATCATACTGTCTGAGTGCATACTTTGAGGTATTCTCATAATAACCTTATTATTATACATCTTTTCCTTCCAAGGATACATCATGGGAATGCCAAAATCCAAAAAGTTTAGAACAGAATCAGCGAACTTCTTTGTGTTGAGTCCGGTCAAACCCTGATGGCAGCCATGTTAATTTTTATTAGTAGAGAACGCTTACGTGTGTAATCATTTCATATTTGGAATTCGCATTTCCTTATATGGTAGGATGAAATACCCCGTAAAATACCACAAAATTACTGCACGCTGTAACTTATGGCGTTACGGTGACAGATGTATAATAATTTATAGTATTCTTATGATACCCATATATTATCATCATTATCATAACAAGTATTCTGACTTTTAATAAAAAAAGACATCAACTGTAAATCAGTTGAATTTTCATGAATTCTACAAGACTTTCTTAAAATCTTATCATCAATTGAGTCATTGATCACAAACCTCAAAGATGATTTAACAGTACCCTTCACGACGTTGTTTGTTGCACACCATTTAAGGTCTCTTTACACAATAATGTGAAAGTACTTTATTTTATATTGCTACATCATCAATAGGATCGTATGGCGAGAGAATTGGAGGAAACAATCCAAGTCTGTAAGAGTAAAGAATTAGATTGCAGCAAATTGGCTGAGGAACTCGGTGCCAGTAGAGCCAGAGAAGCTGCAGCAGACTCAAGATGCATAGCAGAAATACACCATTTGAGGCAACAATTGGAATTGGACATCAAACAGAAAGATATTGAAGTTAGTATTCTTCATTTTGATTGGTGTTTATTTATCATGTGACTTAATGAATTTCATTCAATTCAGTCAATCAAAGTTGGAAATGAGGCACAAGGCGGACTTTGCAGCTGTCAATGCCACATAATATATTCTACCTGAGTATGACGCAATATCATTTTTATTAGTGTATAAAGTCTGTGTGTGTGTGTCTTCACCTATATTTCAGACATGCCTGGACCAATCACATTCAAACTTCACTCATACATCATGCATCTTGGGATACATAATGCATATCCTTTTGTTTCTGGATCTGATTCAAAGTGACAGAATGACGGCCATTTTTGTGGCAAATATTCATCTAAGCCAAGCATGTCTGCCATTTC